TACCATGTCATGTCATGTTTTTGTATGAGAAACGTATCCTGTGCTATGATATGGCTGGTTAGGTTATGCGTGTTGCCCACCCCAACCCCAGATGATGCCGGGGATGCCAGCTTTCTGGGCCCTAGCCGGGACCCAAACCAGAAGGCTGAGTTGCGCGTGCGCGCGCCAGAGGCCGCAGAAACAGCAAAAAGAACAGCCCGCAAGCCAGCCCGGAAACGCAAAAGCAGCAACACACCGTAAACAGCAGCGTTTTGTGGCTGGGGTCGAGCGCGCGCGCGCCGGAAGGCCCGAACACCAACGGGAAAAAAGCAAGGGCCGCGCAGCACGCGAGCCAGCCACAGCAAAAGCAAAACGGACAGAACAACAGCCCACCTCTCAGCACAGCTTTTTTTGACGGTATTTACAGCGTTTTGTAGAGCGAGGGCCCAGCATCGCCAGCATGCCAGGCAGCGCTTGGTGCCAAAACGCGCGAAAATGAGCCTCGCTTATATCCCTCCGACACCTTCTACGAAACACTGCTTTTTGGGTTGGGAGGCTTTTTGGAAGGAAGTCTTGATGATGCAGACCAAGCCCCGCTGAAGCATTCTTGATGATATCAGCCACATGGCCTAAACCCTGCATATACGCGATGTTTTGCGAGGGTTTCCCACAGGCAAGCAAAACCGCAAGCCCGAGCTGGTGATGCAGAGGTGCCGGATTTAGGCCACGCATCACGACCAAGAGGGCGCAGCCCCTTTCGCTAGAGCTAGCAAGCTAATTTCCTAGGGCGACATGCTACCCCAGGAGGCGTAGCCGGATTAACCAGGCTCCCGCCTGCTGCCGCCGACCCTCGGCGCATTAAGGGAAAAGTCATAAGGGCCGGTCCTGAAACACGGGTGCCAGTCCGCAAACCCAGGGACCACTTATAAGATCCTCCACAACCACAAACAAGGATTAACGGAAAAGTCAGAAAGATGGCAGCTAGTCCGTTAATTACCGCCTGGGCCGGCTTGTTGGTGCGGGAGCGGTCGTCCTGAAACTGGCCCTCCCGAAGCTGCCCCAGTTGCCCTGGACCGGTCGCCGGCAGGGACCGGGGCTTTGGACCCTGTCCAGGCTGGCCCCAGTCTGGCGCGGTTTGAATCGACGTATTGGACTCTCTTGCAAAATAGATCCAGGGATCCTCTACTACCACAAGGATTTTACGGAAAAGGCAGAAAGATGGCAGCTCGTCCGTCAACGGTTTGCGCCCAAGTCACGTCGAGCTTGCGCTACGCATGTGCCGAGCGCCGGGGCCTGGGAGTGGTCCTAGAAACAAGGCCGTCGGTGCTCGGCGCGGAAAGAGGTGTCTGGAGAGGTTTGGCGTGGGGCCCGATACCAGGGCGGTCGCACCAGGACCGAAAGCAGTCCTGGCCGGGACCAAACCTGGATCCCAGGACCGGTCCTGAAACCAATCCCAAGACCAGTCCTTCACCAGTCCCGGACAGGGTCCCAAAACCAGGATCCACTTTTTGTGCTTTTGGGCGTGTCTTCCAGAAACCAAAAATTCATCATGGATTCCAATCACTTCATTCCAGTTGCGCCGGTCCCCTCTGCAGGAGACTGGGACGGGAGGCAGAGGGTCGGCGGATTTTCCTTTATTTGTTTTCTCCGTCTGTCTCGTTTTTCTTTCTCCTTCACTCTCTTTCTCTTTGTCTTTTTCTTTGTCTTTCTCTTTCTCTTTCTCTTTGATTGTTTTTCCTCTTTCGTTCTGTTTCTGATTCTCTTTCTCAAATTGTCTTTCTCTCTTTATTTTTCTCTCTTTCTCTGTCTTTTTGTTGTTTTTCTCTCTCTCTCTCTCTTTCTCTCTGTCTCATTCTTTCTTCTTTCTTTCTTTCTTTATCTCTTTCTCTCTCTCTCTCATTTCTCTCTCTCTCTGTCTTTCTTTCCTTCTTTCTTTCTTTCGTTCTTTCGTTCTTTCTTTCTTTCTGTCCTTTTCTTTATTTCTTTCTTTATTTCTTTATTTATTTGTTTCTTTCTTTCTTTCTTTCTTTGTTTCTTTCTGTCTTTCTTTCTTTCTTTCTTTCTTTCTTTCTTTGTTTCTTTCTTTCTTTCTTTCTTTCTTTCTTTCTTGTTTTTCTATTTTTCTCTTTTGTATCTTTCTTTTTCTTTTCATTTTTCTCCACGCGTTCTTTCTTTTATCTCTCTCGTTTCTTCCTTTTTGTTGCTCCTTCTTTTCTCTTTCTTTTCGCTCTCTCGCAATTTTGGTCTTGTGCTTGGTCTTCGGTTCTGTGTCTGATGCCACGGCGATAGTCTGAGTTGAAGTAGCGAAGGCGCCTTTTCAGATCCTCATTGTTGAACATCAGTGACGAACCCTTCAAGGCAAATGTTCCGATGCTGGCTTTTCAATAGTTAAGGACGTTGTCGCAAGACGCGATGCAGTCATGTTCATCGCCTAGAATACTGAAGGATGCCTGAGACAACTTGTCTTCTGTTGAGCCACTGCCAGAAAACAAGTCTTTCCACTCCTGGTGATTCCATTTCT